GAATTATTTGACCAGTTGAGTAAACTGTCACTTTCTTGTGAAGCGCTGTTCTCCACGGGGTTGTTTGGTTTGATATTCTTGTTATCTCTTAGTGTCACTGTAGATTCATTGTCTAGTAGCCTCATATGTGCTTACTTTAAGTGCTTGAGAGAAACTGTAGCACTAGTTGACTGCCATTCAGACTGCAGGATCATAAATGGAGCTAGTTCTTGCACAGTAACAAATCATCATTATTTATATCTGTGTTGTGAGGAGAATGTAATGTGTATTATGTTTCGAATGCATGTTTCCTCCATGTTTACATATTCAATTTCTGTACATTTGTGTCTCTTAGAATGATGGAAGATTTCTCAAATGAAGAAATGCCTCGGAATCAGCCTTCTGTGAGGCATTGGCTGCGATACATTGAACACAAGAAGGGGAGTCCTAAACACACTGTTAATGTTATCTTTGAAAGAGCCCTGAAGGAGTTACCAGGAAGGTATGAGTGTTAAATAAACACAGGGAATTTTTTCATGAAACAAAAACAAAAAGAAAACTGATGCCTGTTCTGAGATAATTAAGGAATGTAATGGGCTTCTGATGAAAAAGTTATATTGTGCGAAATTCAGTAATGATCTTCTGTTTTATTAAATGTGTTTTTTTAATCAGAAACTTCTCATTATTTTCTTTATTGGCATCTTCTGTCCTTGAACACTAGAAACAATGTATAAACAGTGATCAATGCACAATTTCAACAAGGTTCTATTGGTAAAGTTAGGGTGTTCAGCTATGGGGCTGTACAAAACCATCAAACATAAAAAAAATTCAAAGATTTCAATCCAAATGCTTGCACTCAGTAATTAAGGAACTTTTTTTGTCTCCACAATGAACTGCAAATCCCATTTGTCATAGAAGGAATACATAGATTGTCAACAATCTACCATCAAAGCATACTCAGACACAATAACAGACTACATGTAGAAATTAGCAACCCACCAAATGTAAGAAGTTTGAGGAGACAGTGGCTGTGGTGACCTACTGCAGCCCACACAGATGATGAAAATTAAAACCATCACTATTTTGAATTGTTTCATTTTGGTCCGTTACACTATCAATCACCAATTATCAATAGAACCTCTGTCGAGTGTAACAATATATATTCTTGTCACCATTTTCTCACATTTGCCTTACATGTTTCGGCTCACAAAGAGCCATCATCAGAGGCAACCACAACAAAA